AGTATTTTCTATCCAGCATGTGTTATGCTTCTTAGCATACTAACACGCTGAAATAAAAGGTATCTATAACTGATTCACATGAGCATGTTAGTCTGCTGGTTTCAGAAGAAAGCCAATGCACCGCTATTGATAGATAGAAGCTTACAGAACTGTGAGCATGACTGTAGACTCCAACAACAATCCTTCCATTACCTTAACCAAGTCACTGTACCTTGTACACTAAAGCTTAACCTCACAGACAGTGTTGGAGGAAGTACTCTGATCCTTTACTTAAGTAAAGTACAAAAGTATTAGCATCAAAATATACTGAAAGTACAAAAAGTAGTAAGTAAGTACTCGTTCTGCATTTAAAAAAAATGATATGCTATTATATACTATAATATAAAATAAAGTACAGAAGTATTATGTGTACTTCAAGTATTACAAGTAATAGTACTTGCTGAATAATTTAATGTTTGCTATATTATCCTGTTTTTATACATGTAAGAGCATTTTGGTATTGAAGTTGGTCAATGTGGAGCAGTTTAGATACTTGAAATTCTGTGTATTAGTAGTACAGTGCTGCATTATACCATATCAGCATATATGTGTTTTTCACTTTAAAAGTATGATATTTACCTCTGAAATCTGGCAGAGTATAAATATAATGTAGCATTACATTACAAACATGTCAAAATAGCACTTAACTATAATACTTGAGTATTGTACTTAGTTACTTTACAGATAGCAAATCAAAACTCAGACAAAACATGAGCCGTCTTATGTGACAGTTTCACAATCTGCTGTCAAACCCTGTGTTTGTGGTCCAGGTTCAGGGACCAGTAACCCTGTCTGCTCAGTATGGAAGTTATATGCTTGTGTGTGGACACATTTGACCAAACTCTTATTGTTCTCACATTGCAGCATCTCCATTTGCACCATCAACAACTTCAGCGGACAGATTGAATGTGCTCCTAACGTAGCAGATGGAGGGACTTTATGAGAGTCAGTAAACCTATAAGACAATTCCCTCTGTTCCTTAGTAATTATCTCAAGAGCATTATTATCACTGCACCAAACCACTTTACATATATTTGACTGATAAGGCTCTATAAAGGAAAATGCAGAGTAAGTGGAGTATACTCTCTCTGTTAACCCTTATGTATTGCTGCTATCGGACTTTCACACCTGTTTGTGCTGTCCAAAATCAGTCCTTCTTCATACGGTCGCCTATTATGCAAAATCCACTTTTTCACGTCTTTTATACATCACCATGTGTCCCCTCTGTGGAAAGAGACTCTGAACGTTTCAGGAACAAAGACCCCCTCTCTTTTTGTCCTGATCCATTTCTATAAAAACCTGTCTGAAAATGAGCTGATCAGATTTGGACCACTTTATGATGTCATAAAGATGTTCTGGCTTGTGTAACCATTAGCCAATCAGCAACCAAGGTAACCCCCCTCCCCCCCTACCTGAATCTCCTCCTAGAGCACCATTGTGTTTTTTTAAACCAATCAACTCTCAGAGGGGTGTGGCCAGCAGCGGCTCATTAGCATTTAAAGCTACAGAATCAGCACTTTTGGAACAGGGCTGAAACAGAGGGGTTTGGTGTTTCAGCCAAACACTCCAGAGACATGTTCTGTATATATATCTGAGACCTGTGATGTATTGTTGAAAAAGAGTATTGGACCTTCAATGTTTTTCAGCTTATAGTGTGTTCCATACGTGTTAAACAGCACTTTAAAACACGATGTCTGTTTTCTCCTGGTGTTCTGTGCTGACTTACTTAGTTGTTGTCCTTGTGAAACTATGAACACCGCTGTGCTGCTGTCACTTTGATACATGGCCTCATGCTTTGCTGCACACTAAATATCTGACAGTAGAGCCAAATTGCACTGCGTTCTGTGGAAAGATAACACAGCAGATCCCATTCATCAAGGGTTCTGCTTTCCTTGGGTGTGATGGCAATAAGTATTTCATCATTAGAGTAATGGCGTGTGTTTGTATTGGTACGCTGATAATGGATTGTTGGTCTTGTAGTCGGGTCACTCCTCTGGTGATAGATTATGTTAATGGATATTTAACTACTGTATCACACGGTTTATTGCGCCAGCGGTCATAACTAATAATGTATCATTGTTAAACAGATGCTCTCTTTCTCACACTCACACACACACACACACACACACACACACACACACACACACACACACACACACACACACACACACACACACACACACACACACATTGATAAAATACACATGCACACAAATACACTAGAACTTCTGCTGGGTACTTCTATGCACTTCGACACATGTTATTCACTATGTTTTTATCAGGTAGTCTTACTGTTGCATGCTTTCAATAAACCTACACAACTCTTTTCCTTAATACATCTGCTAATGGTGGAAGTGAGTTTTAGACCTCAGAGTTTTAGACCTGTTTTCTCTACACACTGATTGGTGACAAAAGGCTGTTGCAGTATTTTCTTCTGTTTCAAGTCTCCTGTGAGCATGAGAGACTGCTTTGAAATTAAAAAGTACAAAAATCCAAAGGTACAAGACTGTCTACTTCGGGAGGGAAGCCAAGTCCCAGAGCGCACTGCAGTAGGAAGCATCCAATCACAAGCTTCAAATGATGTTGCTATGGAGCTAATTACGCCACTGATTTCCCATACAAACATCAGTTTACTCTACATGAAGATTAGATTACTAATCAGCTGTGGAACCGTGAGGACTTCTGGACCAGCTCAGTCCTGCAGACGACACACACAATATGTTTCAGTGTTTTCTCCATGGCAACAGTGAAACATATCCTGTAGCATTGTAGTATTCAAGCACAGTTTCAATGGACAATTTAAACAGTATTTTAAATATCCTTCAATAAATGTTTTCTAAAACACTATAATGTATTTGTATGCAGCTATGGAAGCAATTAATTGACAAATATAATGTATTTTAAAAAGGGGTTAGTTATGCATCATTTATTATTGGTTTATACACAAACCCAATCAAGAATAGTTTTATTATTTGAAAAATACACTAATAAACACTTATATTTGCTAACAAGTACATTAAAGTCCACATGATGGATGGATGGATAGATAGATATAGATATAATAGATAGATTTAGAATTGTATTAGCTCATGTATCTGATCAGATTATTCATTATCATAAGTACATTCTGAAACCCATCTCGCTCTGTCACCCTTTTGGACTGATTTACATCCACTTTACCTTTTCCCTGCCACCTCTCCTGCAGTGATTATTTGTACTTGTTGTATTCTCTCCTGGTCGTCCCTGTCACTTTGTATGTCTTGCTTGAATGGTTAATTGGTGCGGTCACCTTAAACTGCAGACGTCCTTTTAATACATGTCCCAGCCGGACCCCTCACAGTCACTTATTACAGTCTGCTGGGCAGCAGTGCTCTGAAGAGTCAGCAAGCCAAATGTTCCCCACTGACCGAGCAAGGATAATACTCAAACATACCTTGCAATTTGGCATCTAGAAAAACAGCATAGAGAATTATTATTATTTTCTAAAGTGTGACTGAATTGCCTCTCAGCACTTCACTTTCCCTCGAATATTAGAATGCAAATGGAAGCGAGCTTTCAATGGAAGTAAAAAAAAAGAAAACGCTTCTTTTCAGAAGGGTTTAATGTTTGAATTGAAGAGCTGTTTGAAGAGAATAAAGAGTGTTTTCTTTTCTTCTTTGTATTGCCGCGCTGCTGCGTTTCTAACAAGGCAGAGGGCTCTCCAGAAGTCTATTTGATATACATGAGTAAGCACACATTTCCCATGCTAATTTTCTGCACTGCAGTTCATCTCTCACCCTTGGAGTGCAGGAATATAAACTGTTGACCCGCTGCCTGCAGACGCCTCGCAGCGCCCCTCCCTGATTGGGCTCCACGGTGCTTCAATCAGCTTAATTGGCCGGGACTATAGTATCAGTGAGAGCAGAGAAATGAGAGGGGAATGCTGGGATTGGAAAACAATTGAATGCTGCATCGTGCACGCCTCATTATTTGTTGATTGACACGTTTGCAGGGGGGTTGGGGGATCTGGAAAGCCTAACAAAACAGATTTGAGGCAGCTCTGACTTTGGACACATTTTGTTGATATTCATTTTTGAAATCTCAGACAGAATCTGCACACAAGACAGAGAGGAGCAGAGACTCTATGCAGTATGAAGGCATTACAGCTGAACTGAGCTGTGTTGTGGATGCAGTGACGCAGCGTCCACACGGCAGCGTCCGTTGAAGCTTGCCGGCAGGTGTGTCTGAAACTCGACCAACAACCAATCACATGAATCTCCCGCCCCGGACACACAAGCATGCGGTTTGATTGGCTAAAGCTTGTACTGGCATATGATTTGATTGGGTTACGCTTCCGTCGAAGCTTCAAAAGTGTTCTCAACTTTTGAAGCGAGCAACGCGAGCAAAGCGAAGTGACGGAACCACAATGCAGTGGGCCGAACTGCACGCCGCCGTGTGCGTTGTGGACGAGCCGTGAGGGTTTGTGGACCTGAAGGCAGGGGGAGGAGCCTTGTTCAGTTTCAGCACTAAGATGATTGGCTGTAGAAATGTACATTTAAATGTAATGTATTTCTTCATTCATGTGACATGTGTTGTTTTTTCCATTACTTAATTAGTTTTATCATTATTCGTCTGGAAAATCATTCAGTCTATAAAGTAGCATGTAACATTATTGACTAAATAGAGGTCAAAAAACATATGAGTTGTGCTAAAATAGATCATTTTAATACATTTACATAAAATAACTCAAATATTAAAACTCCAATGCTAAGGTATAACCATGCTCAAAAAAACTTTAAACTGAAGTCATGTTGTTTACTATTTCTGTTTTTAGTGGCCTCACCATTTTCTCTAAGTGTGTTGTTTGACAAAAAAAGAACTATCTTTACCATACTGTTTCTACGTAGATATATGTCATGCTGTGTATTCCTACGTTATACTCCTGTATAAATACTTATTTCCCTTTGTTCACTCGTTTCCAGCTGTTCCTGTTCCAGTTGCTGAGAGGCCTGTCCTACATCCACCTTAGGTACATCCTGCACCGCGACCTGAAACCACAGAACCTGCTCATCGGAGACACCGGAGAGCTGAAACTCGCTGACTTCGGTGAGCAGTCCGACTGATGCTGTTTATCTGTTGAGAGCTGAACAACTGTGAAAACTGTGCTTGGCCTCCATTTCACAGTTACTCTTACAGTTTTTAGTAGTCATATGCCCACTTTTAATCAGAATCTAAATGTATTGAAGTCGTTATTTTTACTATGAGTGGAAGGTTTTCCTTAATTTTTAAGAATTTAAATAGTCTTTAAGAATGAATGATGAATCAGTGATGAATTAGAGTTAGTTGATATGTCGATAAAACATGAGACATTTTACATTGGCCAACCATTAGCTATATTATAAATCAATTCATTTCATCATAGCCATCTTTATAGAGTAACAGTAAAATCAAAAAATAATGGGAGTCTTTGAGAAAGACCTTACTGTTTGAGGTCATTTTTGGGATGGGATGGCTTTAGATGGACTGTTGGTCCGTCCATCTGTCCAGCACGTTGGCCAAGATCACGAAGTCTGAGCAACTAGTGGGTCCCTTCACCTTTCCTCTAGTGCAAGACCACTTTACGCAAGACATCAAAAAATAAGAGCAGATTAACATAAAAGGTACATATCTCTTTTAGACTCCCATTTAATTTGTGTAGCGTATGTGTGTGTGTTTGTGTCTGGAAGAGACTCCTTCTGAAGTAGCACCATATGGCTTGAATCAATGCTCAGTAAACATGGCCAGACATGGCCTGTCTGGCATCCTGGGGGGGGGGGGGGGGGGGCAGACAAACTGGCAACCCAGCCTTCTGTATACCCCAATCATCCATCCATCCAGCCATCCATCTATCCATCCATCCATCCATCCATCCAGCCATCCATCTATCCATCCATCCATCCATCCATCTACTGTATCCATCCATCCATCCAGCCATCCATCCAGCCATCCATCCATCTATCCATCTATCCATCCATCCATCTATCCATCCATCCATCCATCCATCTATCCATCTATCCATCCATCTATCCATCTATCCATCCAGCCATCCATCCATCTATCCATCTATCCATCCATCCATCCATCCATCCATCCATCCATCTATCTAGGATCCATCCATAGACATTGTTTGCTTCGTATACCATCCATCTCTTGCCCCTCCACCCCTCTGCCCAGGCAGACAGGGGGAGGTGGAAGGTTGCAGCCTGATTAATAATGCAAACTGTGTATTAGTGCAGAAACATTACTGCAAGGGAAATGAGAAAGAGGAAATAATGGACAAAATGCAAAATGAGCAGGAATGAAAATCCCTGGACTATTAGTCTGTCGCTGGAGCTGTGCTCATCAGCAAACAGAAAGTCAGCCTCTGCCTGAGGGAGGCCAGATGAGGAAGGCAAAGGCTGTGTGTGTGTGTGTGTGTGTGTGTGTGTGTGTGTGTGTGTGTGTGTGTGTGTGTGTGTGTGTGTGTGTGTGTGTGTGTGTGTGTGGTGTGTGTGTGTGTGTGTGTGTGTGTGTGTGTGTGTGTGTGTGTGTGTGTGTGTGTGTGTGTGTGTGTGTGTGTGTGTGTGTGTGTGTGTGTGTGTGTGTGTGTGTGTGTGTGTGTGTGTGTGTGGCCGTCGGGGCTCCCTGTGGTCCAGGCCTTGGCAGCAGGAATACTAACGGCTGACAGCTGAGGCCTGTGGCGCTGGTCGGGGTAAAAGAGTGGGTTGGAGGCTGAGTGTCAACAAAGGGGGGGCTGAGAGCTACAATGAGAGGCTGCAGAACTCAGTGGGGGTGGTGCTGTGTGGTGGCAGCATGAAGAACCTTGATTTTCTGTCTTCTTTTAGTGCTCATCAATGCTTTTGCCTTATGATTGGACTGACCACTTTATCCACCCAACATTACAGTCTGCCAAAGACAGAGTTATTCCTCACTCTTGTATTGCTGCATTGGGTGGAAATATGTGTGTATTAAACCTGGGTGTGGTCACTTTGGACCTGACCCAGTGAAGAGTCATCCAATGTGGAAAATAATGTTGTCAGCAGTAGTTAGTAGCAAGACTCTTTGCATTTTCTTCTTAGAAACTCTGGTGACCCCCTGACCTCCAGCTGATCAAGTCAAATGATAAAAGTGGGATCTCACTGACAGCTGGCTTTGATTTAGAGTTTTTAGTAAAGTTTGTTGCTGTACGCTGCATCAAACCAAATACATGCAGTAATAGGCTCCACCCCCTGCTACACTATACTAGACATTTTATTGGCCCATTCATTAAACATTGTAAAAAGTTCTCCCTTTTGTTGTTGACATTTCTGCTGTTGACAATATAAACTATAGTTTATTGTTAAATCACATTAAAATATATATAAATGTGAAATCACCAACTATTAGGCTATTGTGCATTCCATCTTTGTTACGGCTGTGAATTGCCATAACATATGGCCGCCCCTTAGCCTATCACTTAAAATGTGTTGGAGCGCTAGCCAATAACAGCATGAGTGTTACATAGTGATGTCACTATGTTCCAGGAGTACACAAAGGTCTCCAATGGAGGGTGTTTCAGGCAGAAGGGGATTGGGGGTGTGGGAGAGAATCTCCCTCTGGAGGGAACACAGGGATTTCAGCCTTTGCAGTCCATTGACATGCACATAAACACATATTGCACACTAGATTATTAAACCTCCAGAAGCATGATAGGGCCCCGCTAAGGGAAACGTTAAGGCTACTGAATGGCAGCTAATGTTCCCAAAAGGTGAAAACAACATTCAGAACTTGCACACTTATCTATAAAGGAATGACAATGCTTTACAATGAAAGCCCCCCCCCTCACATTACAGATGCAGATGATAGGTAGAGGTGAGTGGCTGGGCAGCAGGGTGGCAGGGGTCCATCCAGAGCTGAGCCCCCCCCCCTGCTGCTGGGGGGGGTCCAGATACTCCCCTCCGCTCCTCTGTGGGGGGCGGGGGGGTCCAGATGCTCCCCTCTGCTCCTCTGTGGCTGCTCTCACTGTTTAATGAGCTGCACAAACAACCAGCACATAACTGAGGCGTAGAGCCAATGTTTCATATCAAGGACACAACTAGTAGAGGACAACTGAAGCAAGGTGTGGGGGGGGGGTTGTATTGTTTGTATAGTGGAGCTGTGTGGACCCTAACCACTGCACCCCTGTTGCCCCTTTCACACCAACGCGGTTCCCGTTCTAGCTCTGTGCTAGAGCTTTTCTGGTTCCGAACAGTTTTTTCTTTTCAGACCCCTTTTTGTTCCAACCCAGTCTCACGGCATTTCGTGTTATAGTCATGACATTTAATCTATTGATTCGTGTTCACCATCACGATTTTCCACTTTTTTCCGTGTCACACAGAACGATTTTAAAAGCAATGTATTTCTATTGGTAGTATGTTTCGTGCCTGCAACACATATTTTTGTCCGGTCGGGTCTTGGAAGACCGGAAGCTGTGGGGTTCATAAAAACATGTTCTTACTCAAAATCAAGCCATGATTATTGTTTTTATTTTAAATCGTATAATGTCGGACTTTTTTTGTCGTCTGTGAGGAAAAGAAATGGGGCTCAGAGCCTCAGAATACTGAAATCTGTATTTTTTAAATCTTTTTTCCCTTCTAATTTGTTATTCTTTTCTAAATAACACACTGTTATTTACTCACCAATAACACACAATTATCCTTGTTTTTATTTATTTGTTTAATTCTATCATCTCTGGCTTTTTAGCCGTTCCTCAGGAACTGCATTTCAAAATAAAGTCACCGGAAACAGACGTAATTTTGAGCGTCATTGCGATACACACCCACTGAACTGATTACCCAAGATCCTCAGTTAGCAGCTCAGTGATTTGATGGTTTAGCCGCAATGCACGTTGGGATTTGGTGTTTATGCAATATGAAATCCAAAAAACATTTTAAAAAAATAATAATAACACTTTATTCCGAGTGTTCTTGCTTTTCTCTTTGGAAGTCATCACATAACAGCATTGTAATACACGGTTCGGTTGCATTACATATTACACATCTGTCGTAGTTCTCTATTTATAGAGCCCTGATGAGAAGACTTCTAGACAAACTGGAATAACTGCCACGGAAACTGAATACGTGACGTGGATCATAAATATATCAGCAATTAAACATCTTCAATTTCTCTTCACACAATACGTCTCCTTGCAGTATCAACACTAATTCAGCTGATTTTTATATTTGATCCAATTGGTAGATAGGTAGCAGTGCACAGCTGATAGAAAGGGACTTGTCGTTTTTAAAGATATTACTGATTTTCTTTGAATTAAAGAATGTAAATACTGAGTTGAAAGAATAGTCAGGGATTTTGGGTGATGGGATATACCTTTCTGTCTGTGATTTTTTACAAATCACATATAGAAGTAAAACATGTGAAATAAATAGCAATATAGCAATATCCTGTAAAATTATGTGAAAACATGAATAAAACTACACATCTTCAGATGTTATACATACATAAGTGTCCTACACTAATAATACAATGTTATTATGGATGTGTGTACCTTGTGTGCACAGCACATTATTGAATTAGTTGTGTATATGATATGTCAATAAACCTTAGAAAATATTGAAATCTTGAAAGGGATGTCAAAATAAATAGCCATTATATACAGTCTTTAATTAACTATTAGTAGAGAATAACGAAAATGAATATACTTTATAGAGATCTGCAGATAAATGTTTAGTCTTCTCAAGCACCAACTATCTCTCCTGATTGTTGGCACTTGACAATCACCTTTCCCTGAATTGTACTCAGGTGTAACTAAAGTCTGATTTAAGGGTTGTTTATATTTCACATCATTAATCAGAATCTGCAAAGTAACTCAAATAAATGTAGTGGAGTAAAAATACCAGGTTAACCTCTGAATTGTAGTGGAGTAGAATTACAAAGTAACAATGAGCTGTCATGTGGGTATATATTAATGCTGCCCATTATGGATACAAGCGATTTTCACCCATTTAGTACTTACTGTACATGTTTTACATTTGTACACACCAATTTGTTTCGTATCCCCTAAACCTCCAGGGCTGTACACAGTGTAATACTGTCAACTTCCAAGAACATGT